TGTAAATGTATATGAAATACATTATTATTATTATTAATAGATAAACACTGGTTATTTGGTTTCAGTGAGTGGACAACATCTTGATAAAATAATCCATGAGTATCCTCTATATGCATGTTATTAGACTCATTTGGTGTCGACACAGTGTCAGCTATCTCCCAGGAAATATGCCTTGCCCTAGCTGTAGACTGTTCGCTATGCTGGCAAGGAATTGATCTGATATCATGCGTGCTATATGCATGATGCCAGGTGTTTCTGTTAACTGGCGCTGGTGAAAATCCTGCCCGAAAGTATAACCGATATGAGTATTCGGTAATTTGTTGCCAGTACAAGAATGAAGTGTTTGTATATGTTCCGGGTAGTCACCAGACCATAGCAAGTTTTGTGCAGAAATTGGCACATGCTCCCTACTAGATACATAGGATGTATGAGTGGGTTCTGTTGGCTTGCTAAATGTTGTCTGTGGCCGATATTTGGGGGATTTTCTATAACTTTCAGTTGATAGAACATTAGAAGGGGGTTGGCTAACAATGGGTTTACGCAGTGGATGAGCAGAATAATACCTACTACCTTGCTGTGCTGTTTGTCTAGAATTAGCGGTAGGATATAACTGACTTTCCACTTGACACCAATTAGGCCTACCTCTAGGAGCTAGGTCTACCATATTTGACTTTCTCTTAGGATGATGGCTCAGAGGTGCTTTCGTCCCTATCATATCAAAGGGCTTTCTTACTCCGGGTTCAGTATTTAATTTATTTACTTCTTTTTCCCTTTTCTTATGATCAACTGGTTGATGATGGCTAACAGGGCAGTCAGCACATGCTATGTAGCGATTCTGTTGCTTGGACACCTCATGGAGTGTTGGAACAAGTCACATAAGGGCCTACACAGAGCTTCGGCGCACGGTTTCAGAACAGATGGCCAGATGTCATCACAACCTGGGGACTTTCTAGATATGAGTCAGTGTAGCTTCCCTAGTACTATTACTGGGTTTATTTGGGGAGTAGCCACTAGGATTTCCTCCAGTGAAATAGTAGTGTTGCCATTTTTGTCCGTACTGGTAATACCCACATTGCCGTTTGACTGTTTGGCGAAGGCTAAACTGAATGTTTCAGCCATAACCACACTAGTGAGGTATTGACCGTTTGGACTTACTAAGGCGCATGCCCTCTGGTTGGTTTTCTTTCAGACATGAATCTATACATGTTTTTGGGGTTTGATAGGAAGGTTTTGGCAAGGTTAGCCTGGAATGACCTCCTGTCACTCCTGACTCTCACGTTGAACCGGTTTCTGAGTGTCAGGTATTCGTCGTGGCTGGTCTGACTCTTGGATAATCGCCACGTAAACCAAGCCTTCCGCTTTGCTTGCAGAACACATTGCGTACCTCTCTTCAACCATGATAAAGTTTTTAAGCTCTGTTGTGACTAAAGGGACGGTATCCGAGATCGCTGTGTGAATAATCTCTTTCCTCACTTCCCAGTGTTCATCCACAGATAACTCATCCCATGCTAAGGGCCATTCTGCGTTGGACAAAGGCCTCCGCATTTCAGCATAGTCTGCCTTCTTATAGCACAAACATTGTCGCATAGCGTCCCACTGCAAATGCTCACGGAGAACGAGGTCGAAACCTATGACTGCATGGTCACTACTTCCTAGAGGAGTAATGATCTGGACCTTTTCGACGGATAGTCGGTCACTAGTTAGAATGTAATCTAGTTTCGATGACTTTCCACTAGGGATCCACCTAATGTCGTCTCCAACATTCTCAGTCACTCCTGCTAAATGTTAAAAGACTAACATACAACCTAAAGCGTCGAGTCGTTAGTTGTTTACAACACTACGATCTTCACGTGCCAATTCATTCTAATGTCTCCCTGAAAGTATCTAGGGCAACTGAATTCATACTTTTCCACTACATTATAGACACTATTGGTATACCAAACATTTTATGTACCAATATATCAGTACCTGTATCAGTGCTTGATTTCTCGACTGACTGAATGTCGCCAAATAACTGATTAGTGATTGATCAGGACACATCTTATCGTCACATTCCATTCAACCTAATGCATTGGGTGTTTCATCGGGCAAACAGAACGAGAAACAGGCGGTAACTGGTTACTCAACTCATACTACACGGAATTTTAACCATCCTACTGTTTCAGGAACCATTTGCGATGACTAAAACTCGACAATCTTAAATCGAAAAGACATACTTGAAAGCTTGTGAGTGTATTATTAACAATAATGTCAATTCATAACAAGTGAGAAATCGACAAAAGCAACACAACAGCGAGACATGCATAGAAGTAAACGATTACAAAGTAGGAGTCATGTACATTAAGAATTAATAAAAGTCGTTACAATGGTCTATCTGTGCACTACAAATATGGATTACACAGATATCTAATAATGTTCGGCGAAGACGTGCAGTTACTTGAGGTAAGGCAGAGAGAGAAAGATCACCTAAAAATGTCTCCACTTTCTGATCTATCTTCGGTAAGAGTCTGGATAACGTCTGCTAGAACCTACATGATTCCATCCCGCTCCTAGTCACGTCCACATTACAGACTGTAGTTCGACAAAATGACGTTTGATCACCGCAACGTTCCAGCCTGAGAATTTCTGCTCTACGCATGTAAGCAAGTTTACGGGAGAGGATGATTTCCAGAGACATTCGCTATGCTGTAGTATTACCACTGCAGGGTTGGAGGTATATGCGTAAGATATGAAACGCACCATGTTTCATGCATGCAGAACATAACAGTCTTCATCAGGAAGCCTAGGCTTTACAACCTGACTTGAACAGAGCATATGATGTTGCGTGACGCTCCAACTATAAACAAGCTGTAGTTTGTGTCAAACCGATTAGAGGAGAAATAAATTTTTGTCGAGATACAAGAGCTCAAAGTATATCCAAGTTTAATCGGGGCATGAGCATACCCACTGGAAAGGAATTACTAGTGGAATAATTACCACTTTAGTGGTACGAAGTGTTTGCAACACAGTGAACTGTAGGACCAGTGATGAACTAGTCGACTGCAGCAGGACCCACTCATACGATGGAGTAAGGCGGGTGTAACTGTTGTTTCGTGAGTGAGCCTCAAATAGGCGGAGTCTAACCATTAAAGGATTGAACATAACGTTCAACAGCATATAAATCGAAATCATAACAGACCGTGACCAGCTACTTTTGCAGTTATCCCACTTATCAACTTACACTCAAACCAATAACGCACTAAGTCGTGCTTTTTTCCTACCTTCATCTGGTAATGTCTTCAAATCGCCTTAATGTTATTGCATTAGTGATGCCATTAAAAAGCACTACACAGTCAACCTATACTTTTTCATCTGTTAGACGAATATGATGTCAGCACTAGTGATAGTAAACACAGTGATTACTTTGCTGGTAGTCCCATCAAACCATCATTGAAGATGCAATTCACCACATCAAGCTGCGGAAGTGAAGTATAGTAAATGCTACTGATTCTAGACAGATTCCCTACTGTCATTCATGATGGGACTTCAAGATTCTCCATTCACACCACTTGAAACCCAAATAGGACATTACATCAGTCTCGATCTTAGATTCCTTCTCGATTTCCCTACATTCAAGGGTATGTGTGATCGTCTCCAGTGGACAATTATCAGAAACCGAATTGCAACCTCGTGGAAAACCAAAGTGTTATTGCATATTGACTTCTGGCAGTCGTGCCTACTAAGCAATTCTTAACACGTCAGACATTGAAAAGTTTTCTGGTGGATTATGACTACTGTATCTCACTCATACACACATACACCAGGATTTTCTCCTTGTGGAAACTGCAATACCTCAGTCTACCGCCGCTTATGCAGGTCATACACCAACCAAACTGCCCTCTTCTGGGCATCTGTTCACGTTGACCAAAAATAATAAGCATCCCTAAAACCGCTTTTTCCATGCTAATAAGGTTATTGAACAATTCAGGTACGTCTGAAAGTACCACCGCACCTACTGGCATAAATCTGAGCATGGACAGCTGTTGAAGCCTTTTGTCGACAAATGCACGTTTCTCAGTTGCTTAACGGCCCTGAAGCGAGGTGTTAGCAACAATGCATATATTCACAATCAATGTCATCGAAACCTACACCTAGTATTCTCAGTCCAACGTCTGCATTCGTCCCTCACGCAGCCACCCTTACGACCCACTTTCGAAGGAGCAGAGATTTTACGAGCAGTTCCCAGTAAGTTTCACCTAAGCCCCAACTTTGCAAACCACCTACCCATGCAGGCGAGATGAACTGAACCCTAACTCGACATATAGAGGAAATCGCAAACTGGGACCACAATACAATTAGACGCGGACAGAAAACGACTGACCGTAAAGATGATGATGGACTAGTTGGAGTAAACCAATGGTGACAATACTAGTCACTATGCCAAGCATAGAACAGAAATTTGAAAAGTAGTCAAACCCTTCACCTGAACAGGTTATGATACGACAAGTGGTTTGGGAACGTGGAACATGTGCATACTTCAGTCAGCATATACAGGATGTTCAGTAACACAAAGAACTTACGAAGCAGCAAGTAGGTCTTCTTGCAAAGTGGACTGTCACCACCCGCTTCATTAGCTCAACCGTCTGTAGACAAATAAGCGCAGCCCCTAGTGCATAAATTCAAACAGGAATTTAAGCCTACCTGTAAGCCTGAAAACATGTTTGTGAGCACTCCTTCCTTGGAACTTGGCATCTGATAAGTAGTGCTGCTCGTATGCTAGCCATTCACTTATCCTCGTCGACATTTCTGTAATATTGTATTTTCAAATCGGTATCGATTTTACTGATCGATAAACTAATCAGTGTCTAGCGCATAGTTGATAGATCAAATATACCACTTGATAGTGGGTCCTATTCGTGTAGATGAGCCTAAACCCTTCGCCAGCAAGAACTAAGATGAGTTAGTGTTGATGTCATATATTAACAAGTACAATTTTATTGAAATTAAATGCAGATAAGTGTTCAGGACCATCCACCATACCACTGATTGGCTTTGCCCCCAACATGCTCTCCAGAGCCCATACCGCCATACCCTCCATAGGTACCACCACGAGAAGGAGCACTGTAAGAGAAACAAAGATACCGTGAGTACCGATACAAACCACACAAGTCGAAACATAAATGACAGAGGTCTATCAGACCGCGATGTGCTGGACGTATGAAGTCATTTCTTTTATGAAACACTTCTCCCTCACACTTTAGTTCACACTGGTGTACACATGATCTACCACCGTTATTATACCATGGAATTGAACTGCTGTCCGCAGTTCTCCAACACACAAGTGTTTTTGAGTCCAAGTCATGATGAGAAATATACGAAATTCATGTTCTCGTTGCGTCGCAGTGATACCATCCTAATCCGTAAGGACTGATTGGGACAATTCAGGGGAGTGTGCACCGGAGACCTTAGGGCCCGAATGTTTCTAGTGTTCGCAAAGTCAGTCCAAGTGTCTGTGAAAAGCCAAGTGACTTTAAAGTTTCCATTAGTTCACACGAGACCGACAATCAGCACGCTTGGGGACCTTAGACATTGATCGGTATGTTCCCATTAGGATAAAATCAATAGTGATTATAACTTCACTCACCTCTGACCACCCGGTATGTCGCTAGCTCCGCGCGCACCTCCACCGTATCCCGCGCCACCATAGCCACCAGAGGACATGTTTCCTGACGCACCATAACCTGGACCACCGAATCCACCTGGAGCTCCCTGATCGATACCACCATAACCTCCATTATCAAATCCACCGGGTCCGTCGTACCCACCTGGACCACCATAGCCCCCATCTGCAGCACCACCGTATCCACCTGGTGGACCCATAGCGCCGCCACGACCGACTGGAGGAGGTACTGGGGCTGGACCTGAAGAACCCATCATGCCTCGCTGGCTTTGTGGAGGGGGTGCATTACCGCCCATCATTCCGCCACCTGAACGAGGGCCTCGACCCCGACCTCCATGAACTGGTCCACCACCCATTGGACTCATGCCACCACCTGGTCCCATTCCTCCTCCCATAGGGCCCATTCCACCACCCATAGGACCCATGTCACCACCACCCATCATGTATGGGCCTCCCATGTTGTAGCCCATCGGAGGCATTCCTCCTGGACCGCGAAGTGGCATCCCTTGAGCTAGCGCTGCAGCAGCTTCTCGGGACAGCCAGCCACCGTAGTTGAGAGCATCACTTTCGCTGAAATTGGCAGCATCGTAATCTTCCCGGCGACCACGAGGAGGGGCAGACTGAAAAACAGAAAGAAAAAAGGTAGCATCAGAAACACAAAAATCGTAACCGTACAACCAAACCGAATGAGTACAGCCACTTAGTTCTCCCAGCACCGCACACTGGAAACAAGTCTTCTCACATTACTTTGGACAGTGTTTCCACCGTCTCCAAATAGATGTCAACCAGGCGTTAGACCTTATCTAACCGCCAACGTTTTCCTGTCTATACATCTTAGTAGCAATAAATCACTCGAACTGAAAGTATCGACGGCTTTACTCTCTGTATGGTCAAGACTAATATGATATTAATCAGTACGTAGTCAGAAACAAGGTGGATTCTTGAGACACTTCATGTGTTAATCATGGTTCACATGCACAAAGATTATTTACACTCACCTCAACTGCCTCTATCACAGCCTTCAGGCACTGAACGACATTATCTGGGTCAGCAACCATCTGTACTACCCGATCAGTTGATAAGGGAGCCAACATCTGGTAGACCTTGATAACGCGCATTTTGAATTTCTAAATTTTGCATCAAAAGGAACAATTGCACACTTACATCACGGAGGTCTTTGATACGTTCTCCTCCACGCCCGATCACAGAGCCCGCTTGACTCTCGTGTACTAAGATTCTGAAGTCAATCATGTTTTCGTCCTCCTCTTCATCCCGCTCAGGATCCTCGCTGCGCCTTCCACGTCGACGAAGTGCCTGAGTACCCATAATGCGCTTCGGGTCGGAAAGCTTTGCATTCATTATGTCCTACAACATCAGACTCAATAACTTCAACTTACCTTCAGTTTCGGGCAGACGTCTCGCATGATACTGCAGATAGCCTGCAGATCACCTTCGATGGTCATTATCCTATTACAAGAAAAACAAGTTAGGACGGGAAAGCAGGAAGGATACGAGAACACAAACCGACTAACAAAACTTGTAACGCCCTTCCATTCAGTGGCAGGACCGTGTAGAATTCAGAGGAACGGACAACCTTATGAGGGTTGTCATCAACTTGCTTTTCACACAATGGAATAGATTGAATGGTCAGGTCACTGGGGATCCCAGTGACTGCTGTAACTTGTAGTTAAACTGATAACCAAACACAACCAGGAATTTAACTTTGTAAATGAAATCCAAAATTGACTTTACAAACATACAATAATGAACCAAAAACATGAAAATAATAATTTAGGCAAACTAATTAATCGACCGAATAGACATCAAGGTGACATTAAGTTTCGATGTAACCCTACCGTTCTGGGCCTCTGCTGTCGGGAATATTCAGCTTGACGTTATACTGTGATAGGGAATGGGAAAAGCAGGGCCGGTTTCAGTGAGCCAGAGTCATCAGTTTGAGAATAAGGCAGGTAAGTGGTATCAACCCGAGCCATGGGAGGTTTTCAGTGGAGATCGACCAGATTCAGCGAGTCAGTTTCCGGGAGTGGAGGAGCCATAAAGAACATAAAACAAAGAATCGAGTCAGTTGGTGCCAAAACGACGATTGATCAAGTCACTAAATGAAATGTACGAGAACAAACCTGTGACCGGATTTTCTTGATATTTTCCCCACCCTTCCCAATCATAATCCCTGCAGCTCGTCCAGGAATGAGAAATCTAATCGAGACATTCGTCAGATCAACGGACGAACGCTGGAATTTGTTTGGAGGACCATCTTGGTTGTTTCCTGAACTGTCGCGTTTCATGGTGGATGGCAAGTCTGAATGGCTACCGGTTAAGTGACAAGTAGACAAACAAACGGGATCATATAAACAAAATCCAGTGTTCAATACCCGATTAGGATGAGAAGTGTTGAATGACGAGTTAGAACACGATGTGTAGTTCATAAATTTTCAAAATATTTACTGTCTTATATCTAAATAAGAGTTTTGAATTTTTAGACTATTGTTTGTTATATGTTCGTATATCGTGAATTGTGACTTGAAATGACTGTGAAGTCTACGATTCGTAATGTACTTAGCTGACATGTTTGTCGCACAGGGAGCCTCCTTACTTTGATATGCAATCAAGTTTGGACTGATTTCATATATTCATATTGTTGCATTAACATGGCCTGGGAGGAAGCAATTGCTTTTGTGCTCCAAATTACACTACTCTAGGAGCTGAAAGAAGTACGGTAAGAGGCTCTCCTGCGTTCTCACCTGAAGTCTAAAGTGAAAGTAAATATTTGTAGATGATGTTTTGGAGAGATTTTCCTAATCATTTCTCTCCCAATAATAACCCAAATTAGTGATTGATATCTTACGCATTCTACCCATTATTGACAATCTGCAGACGAATTTAAGTGGTACTGTAACAACAGAAGACAAGGGCCAGGCAACAGAACGTTTATTACGCAAAATCAACACGTATTTATAGATTTTGATGTACATTATTGTAGGTTAATGTTAGTAGAAAATACAGTCTGCTGATTGGTTGTTTCTCACACAAAGTTAGCCTTGCATCTCTTGTGGCTGTGGCAGTTCATCTATATGTTAACTGTATCCGCCTGTCCATCTTGACCTTTGACCTCAATTACTGTCAACCAATTTGGCTAGCAACCATCTCTCACTACAACATGACTAATATTTGGTACATAAACATTGACCTCAATTACTGTCAACCAATTGGCTAGTAGACAGCTCTCACCACAGTACAATGACGGTACGTACTGTGGAAAGAAAGTGAGTACTCCGAGACTTGTGTTTGTTAAGCTGGATGAGATATTCAATTTAGCGATGAAGCCACCCATAAGTCATGTCAAAATACAAACGCCTCACCAACACGAGTATCTTAGGGAAGTGTGGGTGGTTTAAGTGTTAGCCATGATGGGAGAAGTGTAGGGGACTTATGTTAGAGTTCACTAGTATTACAAAATATGAGGAATAAAATTCAAGTCAATGGAATATTAAGTAACAGTATATTACCAAAAATGTAACGACACGTTATATCAACAAAAGGGTTACTTGGAAATAAAGTTTAAGTCCTCTGCTACAAATTATTTATATAACCCACGGAGACGTTAATTGTTTGGACCAAGTAGGTTGTAGCTGCTGTGTCCTGGTTGTAGAATTGTCTTCGGTTGAGCGTAGTGGACTTCTACAATAAATCCGAAAGATACAACACGGTGAGAGCTGAGCTAGTAAGCCGAAGAAACCAAGGAGAAGACGAAGTCTCCAACAGCAGAGTGTATTTTCCAATCGTACACGGAAGCCAAGTGTATTTCAACAAGAAGCGTTTTAAACAAAAATTATGTACAATATGTCTAATTTCTACAAATAACCAAAAAGTGTACAATCACATTGTTACGCAATCCACAGAAGTGCTTTTGACATTGATGAGATTTTCTTGTAATAAGGATAGTAACGGCGAACCGTATTTGTTTCAAGAGAAGAAATTTTGAGACCAGAGTTGGCCGTCTTCCACCGGATGAAATGTAGCTGCCCATGGCGGGATATAATCATCTAGAAAATCATGATATTCCTCCAAGTGAGGTGTAAGCTAGCTTTTCGACTCACCGGCTTAGATCCATGAACGTTTTTATGGTAATGCATGATTTCAAATCTTGCTTCTCATCTCAAATTTTATCGGGATTGTGTATTTTTTACAGGTGGATGCCACATATCTGATCCAATATGATGGAGAGCATTTGAAGCCTTCTGGAGTTTTCATGTGAAGTACTATTCTGAGTGTTGTTTTTCTTCTTCTCTGTTTCACCAGGTTATGAGAATGTCTGAGTTACTTGTTTCCGATTTTGATCAGCACATTCTAAATGACACAAGGAATCATGTTGTGAATTTACATGTCTTAACACTAGAAAGCACTAGTTTTTTCTGATTTCTGCGTCAGTTAGCTGAGCTACAGAGTCAATGTTGTATCAATTCAAATCGTATCTTATTCATTGTACTGAATGCTGCTGGAATCGCGACTACTGGTAGAAGTTGTGTACCGGTTTAGAGTTGTCTTCGGATGAGGATAAGTGGTTCCTGCAATTTGGATTGTACTCGGAGGTTATCTGTATTTCAACATGAATCGTTTTCAACAAAATTCATGTGCAATGTCTCTAATTTTGAACATCTAACAAAAAAGTGTACAATCATATTGTTAAGTACTCCACAGAAAACCAATTCCCTATTCTAGGCAAGTCATCATAAAAGACGTCAACCAAACGTACCATTAAAACAATAAATTAAAAAAATATGAGAGTTTCAGTATTCGGAAGAATGTAACCTAATTACGTTAGTCAGTCATCAATGCAACAAGAGAAGATCACTTTAAGCAGAAATTTGATATGAGTACAGAAAATATTTACACAAATATTTAAACAAAATCAAATTTGTTTTGGATGATATATTTTCATATTAGAATGAGTGAATGTTTAATGAATGGTGATCAACAGTGTGTATAATAATGAGTGTTCACCTTATGATCTACTATAGATGAGATAATTACTGCCTATTGAGATAAATCACTGAATAATGAGCTAGAAGAACTCTTGATAGTTGACAAAAGTACCTTCTGCAATTAATAGTGTTCTCTGAGCTGGTTGGTTTAGTTGCGGAGCTTTCGTCGTCCTTCTGGACAACATCTTCAGCGCCATATTCAGCACAAAATGAAGTGATTTAAATTTCTTCATGAGTGATATAATTGCATCTCCTGGTAACTATCTTTACATATGTATTGATCATTTTCTATTGACCTGTATTTTAAACTTTCTGGTCACCTGATTTACTTTTTATTAGTTGGTGTATTTCGTCTGTATTAACGTGTTTGTTAATTGCATTTTCGTTTGAGTACCCGACTTCTAGGAATTCCCTGGCACTTTCAGTGTTTCCTCTGTCTAAGATTTCGACATTATCCTAATCAAACTGATGTCCATAATTGTCTATATGCATTGATACTAAAGAATACATATCGTGTCTTTTCACGGCTGGTTTGTGTTCTTGGATTCTGATTCGAAGGGGACTCCCACTTTGTTGATGGATGTAATGCTTGTTACAGTTCATACAATTTATTTTGTAGATGGTATTAATTTTTCCCCTTTTTCTGTTGGATGGATCCTTTGGTTTGCATAATATCGAATTAAGCGATTTGACTGGCTTGTGTGCTATATCTATGTCAAACGGTTTCAGTATTCTAGCTGTTATTTCAGAGATATTTCTCATGTATGGTAGAATGAATTTTCTTGTGGTCTTTGATGATGGTTTCTTGTTGGTGTTTTGATTCGACTTTAAACACTTTTTGGTGAAATTTTGTGGATGACTATTCTTTTTGAAGACCGTTTGTAGGTATTTTTCTTTCATTCTTTTCAACTCTGGAGTGCTACAATGTGTCTGGACTCTTTTAAACAATGTCTGCACACAGTTTCGTTTGTGAGTAGCTGGATTATTGCTAGTATAGTTGAGTATTTGATCTGTGTGTGCGTTGATTTTCTATATACTTGTGTCTATAAATCTCCTGTGTTGGTTCTCCTGATTAAGACATCTAAAAGTGGGATTTTGTTATCTAATTCTTCTTCTTTCGTGGTGAATTTGATGTCTTCAAATATCATTTCACTTTGTGCTAAATATGGCGCTGAAGATGTTGTCCAGAAGGATGACGAAAGCTTCGCAACTAAACCAACCAGCTCAGAGAACACTATTAATTGCAAATCATCCACCTGAGCTACAAATCTTCTCTATTATTTCAAAAGTATCTTCACATTCCATCTCTAACAGCATATTTCACAGATACCATTTTCACTGCCTACCAGAACGAATCTTCATGAATCAAGAAGTTATAATTGACATATATAAATTTCCCGCCAACGTCTGGATTTTTGTTCCCTATGTGTGTTATCCCATTGGTGGAATCTTCAATGAAACCGCGGATTTTCATCTGGAGGTTCTCATGTGAAAATAATTTTGGTATTGCTCACAAAAGATCGATACTCGTGGTTTATCATATCAAGTTTCACATCAAACTAATCAGGATATCATTTCCGTGGGATTTATGAAGATGAATTTAACTGCCTGCCTGCGATGATTCATAAAGAATTGCTCTAAAATTATTCCCGTTATCAATTCATCTCATATATCGTAGATTAATCTAAAAGTATGCTTATCACCACTTAAACGAATCGTTAAACTGGTGAATCGAGAGAAAGCAAAATCGGTGATTATAATTATTTTTCCCTTCGGTTCCTAGTGGAACACGTCTCCACTGCACGTCTCCATTTGCTTCTGTCTTCTGCTGTACTTTTCACTTGCATCCATGTTAATCCATACTGTTCCAACTCCTCTTCACAAGATCTCCTCCATGTCACCCTTGGACGTCCCACTCGCCGCTTCCCTTTCGGGTTCCACTCGAGCAATTGCCAGCGGCCTTCTCAGCGAGTGTCCAATCCATTTCCACTCTCTCCTGCATATTTGTTGAGCGATTGGTTCTTGTTTTGTTTGTTCCCATAGTTTCTTGTTGATGATTCTTTCCAGTGGCCATCTGATCTTGAGTATAGAAAGAAGACAGTTGTTGATAAAGGTCTGCAACAGGCTGTTGGAAATATTCTCTGTGACCTGTCAAGTTTCTCATCCGTATAGCAAAACTGACTTGACGTTTGTATTGAAAATCCGAATTTTGTTGTTGATGCTGAGTGAGTGACGAAGATTTCCAGATTGGTTCCAGGTTGATGATTGTGTTTCTCGCCTTCCCGATTCTCGATTTGACAACCTCATCCGTTCCTCCTGTAGTTGAGACAATGCTCCCTAGATAAGTGAATGAAGTAACCTCTTTCAAATCCCTCGCGTTGATGGTGATTGGCGCTGGATGTTGTTGCTGTTGTTGTTGGTGGTTGGTTATTTTCATAACCTCC